AAGATTTGGCTTCACCATAACAATTACCAGCACCCCTTTAAATGTTCACTATCTCAGATCTACCATTGCCAAGGACTCAACAGCTTCAACTGAAACTACACATACATTTGGTGGAGCTTCCTTTTAACAGCACTAATCATGGCCTAACACCCAATACTAAGATCAAAGAGGCCCTGCCTTTACCTCAAGTTGTGAACCTTTTTCATTCCTCAATTGCCCTCGAAGCTCCATTTCGCAGCCTCGTAAATGAAATCACTATCAAAGATGGACAGCCTCCACTATGCATAATTTTTGATGTTTTCATAGGATGGGCTACTAACGTGGCCAAGTCTTGTGGAACTGTGAGTGTCTTTGTGGCAACATCTCCCACACCGTTCAACTGGGGAAGACAAGTTTTGCCTACCAGGAGCATCTCCCACGCCATTCCACTGGGGAAGAATTCGTCACAAAATTGATGGGTTCCTCATGCTACAATCATCCAAGTCACCTGGGGAAATTCAAATTGAGACACAAGTCCGTCCATAGGTAAATTGCCAATTGCATCAATTACACAACCAATTATTCAATTTCAGCTGTGAGTTATTGCGTGTGGGTGCTAGACTTGAGATTCGAATTCCAAGTTTGAATGTGGTGACTGATGTGGGAATTTGACTGGTTTTATTGAATGAACGGTATATAAGGGTTCGTTGAAAATTACAGTGACGGTGGGCGAGCAGGTTAGTACGTTGTGACTGCAAGATGAGGGCTATATGGTGGTGGTGGTGGTGGTGGTTTCTGGTGGCTAAGGTGGCGGTTGGGTGGTGTTTCCGACGAGTGAAAGTGGCGGTGGAAGAGAAATGGGATGTGATTTTTTATTTTTATTTTTATTTTTTTGATTTTTTAATTATTTTTTTGTATTTTATTTAAAAAATTGGTAGTATGGTTGCAATTTATTCTTTATTTTTATTTTCTCTTTCTGTTTGTTTTATTTAAATGGAAGGGTATAATTGACAATTTATTGAGAAATTGATGAAAATGACGATTTTCATAATGAAACGTGGAAATATGGGCGAAAATGAAAAAAATAAAATATAAAAATGAAACTATGGACCTTTTACGCGCTGAACTCCAAACGTATGGACCTTTTGTGCTAATAACCCTGTTAACTTGTGGGGTAGATGATCGAAGAGAATTAGAGATTGTTCTTTGCATCTTGTTAGGGTTGGGTATGAGCTAAGTTGGGTCAATTTTTTATCCAACCAAAATTCAATCAAACATGGTCGATTTGATCAAAAATAAAATTAATTCAACCCAATTATTGGTTTAAAACCAATCCAAACCATACCGATCAAGCTTAAATCGGTTTAAGTTGGATGGGTCGATTTGGGCTTGAGCCATTGAAGTTGGATTCGGTTATTTTTTGTTGAATTTTGACAATTTTTTAAAGTTTGAAACCACTTGAAACCTCCATTGTTTTTAACCTACATACGAAATTCTTTCTGAAGAATAATGTATAAATAAGTTTGATATTATGTAGCATTTTCTTTTTAACAATTATTTTGGGATTCATTCGTATCATCATCTTGTCTTTATTTTTAATTTATCGTCAAATAATGTTGCGTTTGTACATAGTATTCATAACAATCAGCTTATATAAAAAATAGATGTTTGTATATTCTAAGTCCTCTGTCTCCACTATTATTTCTATTTAGATTTTTCATTTTAGTTATTTATTTCTTGGTTTAGGTTGGCTTTTAGTTCGTAACCCGACATCCAACCCAACCTTAATTTGATTTTCCAACCTAACTCAATCCAAGGAACTTAAAAACCAACCCAAGTCAGTAGGTTTAGATTGTGTTGGTTGATTTGAGCGATTTGAATTAATTTTTGTCCAGCCTTACGTGTTGTTGGATTAATTTAGGAAAAAATTCATTTCTCCTACTTTATCTTTACCATATTTCAAAAATAACAAAACAACTTTCACATTTCAAAAATCAGATATTTTAACCTATACATACACATATATATAAATATTTATTATATATATATATATATAAAATTAA